CATTAGCATATAAGATGCCACAACCAAGCAACTTTGATGAAAGCATGAACATAAAAATAATAATTTTAATAATCATATTAACTTTTTAATTAACATCTTCCAAAATATTCATTCCAAATATTTATTACGTTTCAATAAAATAAATTCCGGGCATTGTTCGTAATTCCGTGCACTTGACATCACAAGCCACGTAACAGTTACTCGGTTCACGGGCTATTAGGTGACAAGCACATAAGCCACCAGTTTAATAGTTTACTATGAGCACCACTTGACCAAGTCTAACGTTTTTCACCTAAGGGCACCGAGCCCTATCTTGCTTTTCCGGTACAACCCCGTAAACCAATCAACAACACTTAAAACCCAATTCCACTCAACAAAATATTTTATCAACACCTTGAATGCATTAATTCTAAAATAAATTAAAATCAGAATTTAAAATTTCCAAATTTTGCAACAATTTCTGTCCATGATCTATAGCAATCAACAATAGTATATTCCCAATTAATACACAAATTAAATCACAAAATTACTTTACTTTAAAATAATTAAATAATAATTAAAATAAGTATATAGAACATGATACTCAACAAAATCACAAAGAAGAACAAATCAATCAAAGAAAAGCATACCCCTACCTCAATCAAAGAAAAGCAAAGCTCTAGAGGATCAATAACCACGAATTGCTGCTACAATTGTAAAGCACGTTGAATGGAGCAACTTTAATTCTTGAACCTTTTACAAAATCTCACTCTTAAATCTTCAAATTTTAGAGAGAAAGACTGAAGAAAAAAAAGGAAAAGGAGGCTGGGGTTTTTAATTTTCTCTCACCAACTCTCTGGTACGTTTCTCACACCTTTTTTTTTCTTCTTATTTTTCCTATTTTCATTACTAATACTACATACATATATATATACCCAATATATGTATAAGACCTGGAAACCCACTTGCATTGAATTTCCTTATTTTCTTTTAACCAAAACACTTACTCACCCACATGATACCAAACACGTTTTCCTATGCAAATTATACTGACCATTTATTTTCCTTTAATTATATACTACCAGCATATAACAAATATAAGGCACGGATACACATATATATTTATATATATAATTAATCAATATAAAATCAACTAACCTAAATATTAATATACAATTAATAGTACCAATAAATAAATAAATATATTTTCGGGTCTTTACATCCTCCTCACCAAAAAAAGAAATTTCGTCCTCGAAATTTAAAACATACCTCTATTAGCAAACAAGTTAGGATACTTGGATCGGACCTCCGTCTCACGTTCCCACGTAGCCTCCTCCACTCCGTGGTGTCTCCATAGGATTTTGACCAAGGAAATGGTCTTGCCTCGAAGTTCCTTCTCCCTGGAGTCCAAAATCTCCATTGGTCGCTTTTCATATGACACATCTTTCTTAATTTCAAGGTCCTTCCAATTAAGCACATGTGAAGATAGGTTCCCACTAACACGAAATCACAACAAACCCTTACGTGGAAAAACTTTGAGAAACACATGATCCCCCACTTCAAATGACAAAGGTCGTCATCTCTGATCAGTATAGCTCTTTTGGCGACTCTGAGCTGTAACCAATCGTTGGCGTATCGTTTTAATTTTCTCTGTAGTCTCCTGAACTAAATTAGGACCTAGAGTAGTTGCATCCCCTATCTCAGCCCAACAAATAGGTGACCTACATGGCCTACCATACAATGCCTCAAATGGTGCCATCCTAATACTAGATTGATAACTATTGTTATAGGTAAAATCCACCAATGGAAGATGATCCTCCCAACTACCACGAAAATCCAAGATACAAGCACGTAACATGTCCTCTAAAATTTGACTGCTCATCAGTCTGAGAATGATAAGCCGTGCTAAATTTCAATTGAGTTTCAAAAGCTTCATGAAGACCTCGCCAATATCGGGCTGTAAATCGAGTATCCCGATCTGACACAATAGACACCGGAGTACCATGTAGTTTCACTATCTTTTTGATATACAAATTTCCTAGGGTTTTCCCACTATCTGTGGTCCGAATAGGTAAGAAATGTGCCGACTTAGTTAGTCTGTCAACCACAACCCAAATAACATCATGTCCTTGTTGCGATCTCAGTAGCCCTGTCACAAAGTCCACATAATAACATGTTCCCATTTCCACTCTACCACTGGCAATGGCTACAATAACCCTGCAGGCCTCTGATGCACTGTCTTAACTTGCTAACAAGTAAGGCATCTAGCCACAAATTGAGCTACATTTTCTTTATCCCCTTCCACCAATACTGGTGATGCAAGTTGTGATACATCTTTGTGCCACCTGGATGCACTGCAAGTCGAGACAATGAAACTCCCAAAGGATATCATTTCTACCGGGCAAAGGCACAAACAACTTGCCTCTAAACCTTAAACCTCCATCAGAATGAACTGCCCAATCCTCCACTACCTCGCCGCTTGAAATACAAGTACGAGTTGCAATAGCCTTATTGTCGTGCTGCTACGCCTCAATCACTATACTCACTAGAGTTGGCTGAGCAATAAGGCTAAATAAGGTGGCTGGCTCTCTCTCATCGTAAAAATACAAGCCTAACTTTGCTATGTCTTCCATCATTTTCCATTCCCGAATGAAAATGCTAGCCATACTACCCCGTGACTTTCGGCTCAAAGCATTAGCTACCACGGTGGCTTTCCCAGGATGATACTGCAAGTCGAAGTCATAGTCCTCCATATACTCCATCCACCATCTCTGCCTTAAATTCAAGTCTTTTTGTGAGAAGAGGTATTTGAGGCTCTTATGATCAGAGAATATCTTAAATTTCTCTCCGTACAAATAATGTCTCCACATCTTCAAGGCAAAAATCACTGTTGCTAACTTTAGGTCATGGGTTGGATAATTCTGCTTATGGGTCTTCAACTGACGTGAACCATAAGCTACTACCCTTTTGGTTTGCATCAACACACAACCCAAACCGTCCCGTGAAGCATCACAATAAATGGTGTAACCTAAGCCACGTTCAGGTATCACTAAAACTGGGGCAGTTGTTAGTTTTTTCTTCAACTCCTGAAAAACGCGCTCACAAGCCTCATCCCAAATGAACTTAACTCCCTTGCGAGTGAGTCGAGTCATAGGTGCAGCTAGTCGTGAGAAATTCCCCATAAATCGGCGATAGTAACCTGCTAGTCCCAAGAAACTAAGAATCTCAAATACACTCTTCAGTTGTTCCCAATTCATCACAACCTCAATCTTTGAAGGATCCACAGAAACCCTATCCCCAGACACTACATGTCCAAGGAATTTTACCTCTGGTAGCCAAAATTCACACTTCTCATATTTTGCATAGAGCTTATGCTCCCTCAAGGTCTGTAATACAATCCCCAAGTGACCCTCATGCTCCTCTTCTGATGATGAGTACACTAGGATATCATCCATAAACACCATAACAAATCTATCAAGGTAGGCACTGAAGACACGGTTCATCAAGTCCATGAATGCTGCTGGTGCATTTGTTAAACCAAATGGCATCACTAAGAACTCATAATGCCCATACCGTGTGCGAAAAATGGTTTTAGAAACATCCTTAGTTTTGACCCCCAACTGATAATACCCTGACCTCAAGTCTATCTAAGAAAAGCACTTCAATCCCTTGAGTTGCTCAAACAAATCATCAATCCTTGGTAAAGGATATTTATTTTTGATAGTAACCAGATTTAACTTTCGATAATCAATGCAAAGACGTAAGGACCCGTCTTTCTTCTTAGCAAAGAACACAGGTCCTCCCTAAGGCGAAGTGCTAGGGCGTATGAATCCTTTATCTTTTAGATCTTGCAACTGCTTCTTTAACTCCTTCAACTCTGCCGGTGCCACACGATATGGCGTCGTAGAGATGGGCACAGTACCAGGTATGACATCTATAGAGAACTCCACTTCTTTCTATGGGGACAAATCAACCAAGTCATCTGGAAACACGTCCATGAAATCTCGCACAATATATGGCAATTCTTCAGGTATCACCCCTCCTTCATTGGCTAACAGACTAGCCAAAAAGAAGCTAGGACTCCTTCAATCACCTTAACCATGTAAGGATGGAATATGGGAGTCAACTCGCTCTCCCACGAAATAAAAACAATCTCGTTTAGGTGTGCATATTGTCATTCTTCTTCAATAACAATCAATAGTAACCCGGAAAGTGGATAACCAGTCCATTCCCAATATAACATCAAAACTCATCATGTCTAAGAGAATAAAATCAAATACTAGTTGGCGACCCGCAACCTCTAACTCACAAGATCGGCAGACTCAGAGTAATACTAACCCCAACTGGCGTATCAATACTCAAAACAGACTTTAAAGACTCCACCTTCAAACCAAAGCAGATACAAAGGCAGATGAAATGAATGAATGAGATGCACCACAGTCTATCAATATTCTTGCCCACGAATTGAACAATATAAACATACCTTGAACCATTGATGGACCTGTTGGAGCCTCTGTAGGAAAAATTACATAAACACGACCCTGAGTACTCTGACCCTGTTGGCCTCCTCCCTAGGGTCCAGTTTGACGGCTCGGGAAACTAGAATTCGCTCCCCTATTAGGTCCAGAACTCTGAATTGAAGGTATAGGTGGTGGAACCCTGGAACCTGGTTGAACTGAAGTGATCTGATTAAGATGTGGTTGTGGTCCTGTCACACTATGAGTATTCTGTCTTTGAGGGAAATCCCTTATTACATGACCAGGCTGGCCACACCGAAAGTAAGTCTTCTGACCTCCGACTGATGTATGGTGAATCTGTGGGCACTCTGATCGATAATGACCTACCTGATGACACTGGTGGCACACTATCTGCCCCTTAGAAGACCTCCCTGGAAAAGATACTATCTGTCCATGAATCTGTGGGCACTCTGATCGATAATGACCTACCTGATGACACTAGTGGCACGCTATCTATCGCTGAGAAGACCTCCCTGGTAAAGACACATGTGGTACTGACTGTGTCTAGCACTGCCCCTGAGAATGTGCATTATCCTCCCTTTGCCTCTTTTTAGGGCGATCCCCAGGCTGTGAGTTGGAACCCCCAGACTGAGATTTGGATTCCAAAATCCTCTTGGTGTCCCGCAAGCTCTCCTCAACTAACAGGACTAGTGTTGAGTAATTACACAGCTCTTGTGGTATAATCCTTTCCCTAATACCAAGCCTGAGTCCCTTTTCAAATCGCTTGCACTTATACTCTTCTATAGCAATCACTTCTGGCGTAAATCGTGACAGCCTAGTGAAACTTGCCTCATACTGGTTCACTGTCATACTACTCTGTATTAGAAACATGAACTCGTCCCTTTTTGTGTCCCTCGCAACTTCTGGAAAATATTTGTCCAGGAAAAGCTTAGTAAAGGTACCCCACTCTATAACCTCAACATTATGGGTGCTCTTGATTATCTTCCACCACTGAGCAATATCACCAGTGAATTGAAAAGAAGTAAAAGAGACCCTCAACTCATTCTCATGCACCCTGATAGTATCTAAGATCTTCTTGACCTGCTCCATCCAATCTTCTGCCACCATTGGATCGAGCTTACCACGAAATTCGGGTGGATCCATTCGTCGAAACTCCCTCATAGCAGTGATGGCTCTAGACCCAGACCCACTAGCTTGGGGTTGAGTCCCACCATGTGAGGTCATCATCAACTGTTGTATGGCCTCAGCTATTTGCCTAGCAAACTGAGCCCCATCCATGGGCACCTGTTGTGCCTAAACTTGCCGCACTTGAACCTGTGGCATCGAAGCTGTGGGTACAGATGGTGTCGCAGTTGGGGGTACCAATGGGTTTGAAATTCTAGGCACCGATGGTGTCCGTTCTGTGGCCACTTGCTTTCCTTTCCCCTTTCTCTGTGTACTTGTCTTTTTATGTGATGCCATTGTTCTATAAGGTGACAAGGAAGGATTTAATCATAGTAGAATAATATCAAGTTTAACACTTTGCAGATAGTACATTACTCATATTTCACATAACAAGTACTACAATTCACAAAACAAAACAAAAATAAAAATAATCAAATAAAAATAACAAGTCAAAGAGATAATTTCAAGTCATCATGTAGATTGAACATTCACCCGTTGTCTTAAGGTTTTCGTACCTAAAGCTCTTATACCAAGTTGTCACGTCCTGAACTTTAATTATCGAGTTGTGATGGAATAAATAGAAAATTTAGATTAACATTTAGCGTTAAAATCCTTCAGTATCTTAATGAACACTTAAATATAAATAAATATTAATGACAAAGCACATAAGCCACCTGGTTTTGTTCAATTGACAATGGAAATTAAAGTAATTCTGTTTTCTAAAAGTTATCAAACATGACCATTACGTAACACACTTACTGGGTCATCATTCAGGTAAAGATAAATTACTTTCCTTTGAGTAAATCTGGCACAACTACCTAGCACCATACCCTCATTTATTAATTTCAAGGAACAAATACATATATATATACACATTATATATGTTCCACCAATAATCTGCCCATGTACCGAGATGCTTTTAACATATCAATAGCGATTAAATATCACAATACCTGGGACAACACCTTAATCTACTAAGAAAATGCCTCCTTCAGACAAATTTGATTAATTCACACAACAAAATATCATCTAATTAAAATTACCCAATCCACCAACTAGTCTAACATCAACCCACATAAATAAAGTAATAATCTTAAATACATCAACTAACCTGATAGTGAACCAATTAATTGGTTTAACAAATACCCATCAAAATAATAAAATTTAATCATCTACAATTCTAAATAAAAAAATCAAACTACCATATCATCTCAATTTAAATTGTGAAACTAAGCTTGTATCTAAAAAAAATTAAATCAAATAATAGTCAATTAAATAGAGTTCCTCCAAAGCAACATGGAAGTAATCTTTTCCAAGTATGCTAAATATTTTTGGTACAGTTTTTTCTCACCAACTCTCTGGTACGCACCAAAAGGCCTTTCGCCTAATGGTATAACCTCCTCATCTTCAAAGAAGAGGGGAGGGATTCGAGCCCGAGTGTGGACAAAAAAGTGTGTGTGTGCGCGTTTACTTTACCATCCAAAAAAAAAAAAAAAAAAAAACTCTCTGGTACGCTTCTCACACCTTTCTTTTTTTCTTATTTTTCCTAGTTTCATTATTAATACTACATACATATATATATACCCAATATATGTATAAGACCTGGAAACCCACTTGCATTGAATTTCCTTATTTTCTTTTAACCAAAACACTTACTCACCCACATGATACCAAACACGTCTTCCTATGCAAATTGTACTGACCATTTATTTTCCTTTAATTCTATACTTCCAGCATATAACAAATATAAGGCACAGATACACATATATATTTATATATATAATTAATCAATATAAAATCAACAAACCTAAATATTAATATACAATTAATAGTACCAATAAATAAATAATTATATTTTCGGGTCTTTACAGGATTATAGTATTTTATTTTAGTTCTACTTTACTTATTAGAATCTTTATTTTATTTTAGATCCACTTTATTTATTGATATTTTATTTAAATTATCTTAGTAAATTAAGGATAGAGTGTAAAAAAAAATCCCTTGAACTGTTACCCTTTTGCAAATAACTGATAAGCCCTAAAAAGTGCGCATTTAAAACCCTTAATCTTGAATGTTCTACGACCTTATTTTATCTTACCTTCCTGTTTTAGTCTAATTTCATGTTATTTCTCTTTTCAGGTACTTATTCCCAAAATAAGTCAATTCAGCTGAATTAGAGCATTAGAAGAAGCAATCTCAAGCCTAGTGGAAGAAAAGAGCAAAGTGGAAGCAAAATGGTGAAAAAAACCTTCTCCGATCTATCACACTGTGATCGTTCCAACCTTGCCATGATGGATCGAGCCCTCATCTCAAAAACCACTTCTGTTTCGTGTCACTTAGTGTCATCTCAAGTGCTCGGAAATGGTTTCCGAGGCTATTTCATGTAAATTGACAACTTCCTTTGAGGACCGAGTCATTTTCGCATTTTTCGTTTTTCGACACTATGCGCCTTTCGTCCTTTTCCCTGTTTCGTCCTTTTCCCTATTCTGTTTTTTCCCCATTTGTCACATTGTTGGCAAAACCTCACTTCCCATGCTCGGAGTTGGTTTTTGACTTCACGTGCCTTCATCTTGAGTGGTTTCCTCGAAATACATATCTTTACTTTTGCAAGAAAGTACTCAGTTGCTCCCGGTACCCATAGGGGCATGGGTGCACAATTCTTTAGAATCTTTTTCATTTCTTGGGGTGTTTTTCATAAATATCTTTTGAAGATATTTTATTTCAGGGGTATCTAAGAAAATATCTTTTGGAACATATTTTCATTCTGGGGCAGTTTCACAGTTAACACTTTTTGTAGGGGCCATTGTGTAATTAACGAAAGTTATTGCAAAATGTCTCGTCTAGAGCCTGGATCCTCGTACGGGATTCATTTTCACATTTTGTTGAGTCGTGGACTCTTAGAATTTCATTCTGGTCATTTTTCTCCAGTTTCAAAGTTTCTGGACCTAGTTGCCGCCGAACTTGTTCGGGGCATAATTTTCTGCTCGGGACTCAGTTTTTGACACTATTTCTTCCGTTGTTCATATTTTCTCATTTTGAATCTTTTTCGTTCACGAAGTTTTTCCATTTGAGCGTGTTTGCTCAAATTCCACTTTTTCAAACCCGGTAGGGCCCGTTCGGGGCACTTTAAGGGTTTTACTATAAATAGGGGGTTATAAAATTAAAAAGTCACTTCCTCCTCTCTTCATGCACAACCAGAAGCATCCATGGCAGCCCAAGGGGGCTGCCACCCTTCTTCTCTCAATTAAACCTTCTTCCCTTTGTTAAAAAGTTGAAGTACCTTTGTGTTTTATGTTCGTCTTGGCGACGCGCACCTTTCACCCTTATTAGAATCCATTTCCGACCATTTATTGAGTTTGGCTTTGAAGTCAAGTTGTGATTTTCATGGGGCTCCTTGGGGATTCTTGTTCATTGTGTTGTCCCTAACAAAACCCTTCGGTATCGTCGGATTCGGAGCACTTTTCTTTCGGTGGGGATTTGAGATTTTCATCTCAAATTGAGGGAGGGGATGTTATAATTTAAATTCTTGTTATATTACATGCTTGTGATGCTTATAGAACTTGATTACATGCTTAAATCACAAATCTAGAGATTTTTTTTTTTTTTTCTTGTGAAGGATTTAATTTTTCCGATTGTCCATACCTTTATGTAATCATGTGACATGATAGAATATTACCCCTTAATATGTAGATTGACATATATTAAATCTAGATTATTTGAACAAGTAATGAAGATTTTATTTAATATTTATCTTGAATAAAATATTAAATCATGTGGCCTTATCTAACTTTAAATCAACATGTGATAGCATATTATAATAGGCCTTAGCATGTTCTTCAACATAGATTAATTTGAGAGTAATCGGAGAAGCTTTGAAATCTAGTAATATTTAATTAATTAGATTAATTAAATTGCTCCAAGTGTACTATTCATTTCATCGGATTTCCGACTTGATATTCTTGATGTGGATGCTATATAGTTTCACATATATTAAATTTAGAATATTTGATTAGGTTTTGAAACCTTTCATTTATTATTTTTCTAGTATTAAAGTTTAATACTCATAGTCGTAACTTGCATGGAAGTTACTTGTATCGTGCTAGTAAATCAAGTCTTGACATGTTTAATAACATATATTAAATTGAGGTCATTTGGATGACTTTTAAAATCTAGAGATTTTAATTAAATGAAATAATTAAAATCCATTCAATGATTCTATGCACTTGATTAAGTTTCTAACCTTGTATTCATGATTTCCTTGATAAGTTCCTTCACGTGCATCAATTTGAGAATAATCAGATAAGTTGGAGACTTACACTTACTTGTCTTACTTGTATGGAACTTAGTTCACTTAGTTGTAACTTGTATTCCATGAACTTTTAGCTTTTCACATGTAACTAGACCCCGTGCATCTTGGTTTCATTAATGTACTTAATGAACTTACATCATTATCTTGGAATGATATAATTATCCATGTATTGCTTAGTAAATAATTAAATCATTAATCTCATACTTGTGGTATTTTTGCATCGATGGATTCCATGTGCTATATATACCTTGGTTGTAGTCTTTGTAGATGTATACCATGATTTCTTGATATTTCGCATGCCATGTTAGTTGACAACTTAGGGCATGACTAGTATATTTCCAAAATCTTGGTTGTGCATAAAACGTGTTTAATGCATTACTTGTGTCTTAATGATTTCTTTACTTGCACAACATGTTGATTATGGAAACTTGGTGATATCAAACAAGATTGACATGGCTAGGACTTGGTTCTAGTAATGGGGAATGTCCCTCTACACTATAGTGCGTACTTGGGGAAGGTACCCATGGGTTAGTAGCCCTAAAGTGATCCCAAGATTCTGATTTTTTATAGTACGCACTAGGGGAAGGTATGTAATACCCCTAATTTTAAAAGGATGGTCTCGGCATTTATTTATTATTTTTATTGTATTTTTGCGTGATTATTTGGTTTAATTATTATTTTTTATTTATTAATTTGATTTAATTGTTTACTTATGTGACATGTGTTTATTTTATTTATTAATTTGATTTAATTGTTTACCTATGTGACACGTGTTATCTTTTCTTATTTAATTGGTTAACTGTAT